CAGGCTCAGGCAATCCACTCACCTCGGCCTCCCAAAGTGCTGAAATTACAGGCTGAGCCACTGAGCCTGGCCACACTTTTTTTAAAAAGTGAGATTGCAGCTAGGCGCAGTGGCTCACACCTGTCATTTCAGCACTTTGGGAGGCTAAAATGAGGGGATTGCCTGAACCCAGGGGTTCAAGACCAGCCTGGGTAACTTGGTGAAACTTCGTCTCTACAATAAACCAAAAAGTAGCCAGGCATGGTAGCACATGCCTGTAGTTCCAGCTACTTGGAAAGCTGAAGCGGAAAGATCACACGAGCCCAGCAGGTCAAGGCTGTGGTGGCCATGAGCATGGCATGCACTCCAGCCTGGGCAATAGAGAGAGACTCCGACTCAAAAAAAAGAAAAGAAATTGAGATCAAATTTTATAATCTGTTAGTATCATTTTCCTCACTCAATATCATACTGTAAACATTTTCTCATGTCAGTGCATACTCTAAACATGGCTTTAACACCACTATCAGAATGTACTGTGATTTATTTTTAATTAGTCTCCTCGCCTAAGATATACAAGATGCTTCTGATTTTTTATTATTGCTATTATTACTATTATTATTATTATTTTGAGTTAGAGTTTCACTCTGTCACCCAGGCTGGAGGGCAGTGGCATGCTCATGGCCACCACAACCTCAATCCTTCCACTTCATCCTTCCAAGTAGCTGAAACTACAGGCATGCACCACCTTGCCCGGCTAATTTTTTATTTATTGTAGAGATGAGGTCTCATCAAGCTGCCCAGGCTGGTCTCGAACTCATGGACTCAGGCAATCCTCTCACTTCGGCCTCCCAAAATGCTGGGATTATAGGCGTCAGCCACCGTGCCCAGCCTTCATCATTATTTTTAAAAAGAAAGCACTGTAATGAACTTTCATGGATGCAAATTTTGTGCACATCTCTAATTATTTCCCTAGGACATATTTCTAAAAGTGGAACTACTGGATCAAAGGGTATAAACATTCTTCAGGATATAAATATGTATCAACAAATTGTCTTCCAAAATAACCATACCAATTATACTGACATCAACAGTATAGAATTTTTTTCACAGCATATATATGATTCTTTTCCCATAACATCTCCTTTTTTTTTAAGAGTTCCCAAATTTGACAGGTGATAAAAAAAAAGGTACCTTGTCTTAATTTGCATTTATTTGATTGCTAATGAGGTTGGACATTCTTTCATGTTAGCAGTCACTTGTATTCTTTTTTGATGAGTTTTTTTCCGCTATACTCTTTGTTCATTTCTTTTACTGAGTTGCTAGAATTCTTTGTAAATATAACACTTTGCCACATATGTTACAAATTCTTTTTCCTCAGAAACTGGAATATTTTATAAAAAATATAAAAGGATACCACTTGAGTTTTCTTAAAAACACTCCCTTATTGTTAAAGTCTGACCACCCTCTGTTGATCATTAAGGTTTAGAGCTTGAAAAAATCATACAGTTACTGCAAACCACCCCTTTGTTTTACAGGTAAAGAAATTAACTCATAACTAGCCTAAGATTACATATTTTGTAGCAGCAAAGGTAGCACCGGAGCTGAAAGGTGCAGACCACAGCCAGAAGGGCATCCCCAAGATGGCTCTGCCTCCCAAAGACAACAAAGGCCATAAATTCCTGCCTTTCCCGCCCATTCGAAACTTAAACCTGTGCTCAAACAACCTCTTCCTATAGAAATGCTACCTCATAATCTCCTCCAATAAGACTCAGACACGGCACTGGCCTGCCCCTGCAAGGTTCATAAATATACCTTTCTCCCTGCATAACTCTCTCTCTCTCTTATTCCCTCTCTCTGTCCCGTCACTCTCTCGCCTTTTCTCTCTCTCTCTCTCTCTCTCTCTCTCTTGCTTTTTCTCTCTGTCCCCACCACTCTCTTGTTAGCTCTCTCTCTCTCTCTCTTACTTTCTCTCACACTCCCTGCCCCCCCTTTTGCTTTCTCTCTCTGTCCCCGCCACTCTCTTACTCTCTTGCTCTCTTTCTCTCTCGGTCTCTCTCTCTTTTTCTCTCTCTCTCATCCTTCCTCGGTTACAGTCCCTTCGTGTAACTGCCCCTTTAATAAATCTCTCAGTTCAGACGGCGTGGAGTCGTTACTGGGCGCCCCCCCAAAACTTCTTTCAGGAGCCCTAATTGTCCAGGTTCAAGTTGATGCTGTTTCTACACATACACACCGGCTCATCTTCAACAGACCATTTACACGTGAAGTTCACTCATCCATCCATGGAGTAATTAGAACTTTGGGGACATTTAATAATGACCTTTATTTCACCAGACGCAACCACCACAGTCAATTACTGACAATCACCATGACTGTCGGTAATGATCTTTATTAAAAGCTTCCAAAAATGGATTTTTTATTTATCAAGGCATGGATCTTACTTATCAAAGAATGGATTTTATTTATTAAAGCACCATCTACCCAATGCCAAATCCATAACAAAAACAAACAGCTATGAGTTGTTTCTAGAAATACTCTGTTCCCACTTCTGTGAAACAGAGTGACTTACAGTCATCACCACCATCAACAAACACTTCTATTGACAGAGGGTACCATACTTCGTCCTTTAAGGTAACGATAGTTGATATCTTAGGGGGAAATTCAAGTGTCCTTTCATTGGAACAAATAAAAGAAGCAGCCAGCCCCTTCAAGAACAGCACAGCACTTTTAGCCAAGTCCTCCAAAAAGGAGCGATCTTGTTCTCCACCCCTCCCCAACACACACGTGTTGTTATGGAATCCCACTCCACCTCACCCTTCCGTGTGTGAGATTTTCTTCCCTCTGGCTTTTCACCTGCCTTCCTGCAATTCTTCCTCTGTCTCTTTGGCCAAATCTCTTCTCACACTGCCATTAGGACAAAGCTGCCTCCTGGACTCTCTTCCCTTCTTACTCTGCACACTTTCCTTGGGTAGTCTTGTCCAACTCCACCCTTTCAAATATCACCACATACTGATGAAATCCAAAGGTACAGCTCCAACCCAGACACCTCCCCAGACTATCAGACCCATCTAACCAATAGCACTGAGTATCTCCAGCAAGGATTCTCATGGTGGAACACCAGCCTCAGCTGCTCCAGAACAGAAATCCGACCTTTCCTGCTATTCCATGCATCCTCCAAAACACCTAGTCTTCCAAGACCAAAAACTGGACGTTTTACCAGATGTTAATCTTGTACATCCCCAGCACTTTGGGAGGTCAAGGTAAGAGGATTGCCTGAGCCCATGGGTTTGAGACCAGCCTGGGTAACTTCATAAGACCTCGTCTCTACAATAAATAAAAAAATTAGCCAGACATGGTGGCACATGCCTGTAGTTCCAGCTACTTGGAAGACTGAGGCAGGAGGATCACCTGAGCCCAGCAGGTCAAGGCTGTGTTGGCGGTGAGCATGCCACTGCACTCCAGCCTGGGTGACAGAGGGAGACTCCAACTCAAAAAAAGAAAGGAATATACATATATGTACAGTCATACATACACACTTCACAGCTCTATTTCTATGTCTGCATAGTTATATTAAAAAACATGAATTGATACCAAAATCTCCAATTTTGATATAACACCACTAAGTTCACTTAAGTTTTCTCACTCTCCATATCTGTAACTTCCTTTCCCGATAGTAAGGGACTTGATTGCCTCGTCCATAATGTATTTACTTATTTGATCAATTCACAATCTCCTATGTCTGCCACTATCCTTTCCTGCCCCTGCACAGACACCCTCCTCACTTTATTGGGTTCTTTTACTTCTTGTCAAGCCACCACTGCCACTGCGCCTGCCCTGAGACATACTTCTTGCTCAGCATTAGTTTCCACACTTCACAGCAGGTCCTCTGTACCCCATACAGATGCCCTTCTGCCCTGCTCTGTGCTGACATCCCCTGCCACATCACCACTGCCACACTGTCAACCCAGCTTGGCTGCCCCCTCGAGGATGACTCTCACTTTTCAGGTTCCAATACCTCACCCAGGCCACACTGAACCCCCTCCACCTCCTTGAAAACTGAAAGAACCACAGGCAGTATCAAATCTGAATGCAGAAGAGAATTTTGAGGAAAGGGGTTTTGACACTGTTTAAAATACAATGCAGAGGCCACTGCCTGTTCTGCCTGTGCCTACGGCTACCAGCTGGGAGCTGCACTTTCAACCAAACTGACCACTGGAGACAAGTCCTACCCTGGACAACTAAGCCCCTCTGAACCTTAGCTCCTTCACAGAATTGGCATTTTAATGTATTTTTGAAAGACTGAGGTATGAGAAGCGCTAGAGATTGAACAGCACTATGCCAATATGAGTCTCGTGGAAATGCCAAACCGAGATAATGAATCAGCAAGCAGGGAAAACAAGCATGGTGGTTGCCATAGATGTGTAAGGATGTGGGCTTTGCAGGGCCCGTGTCCTGGCAGGTTACCTGAGATTGCTAGCAGCATTTACCTCTCAACGAACGTGCGAGGAACAGACGGACAGTGGATGGAAAAAACAAGGAGAATCAGAGAAGGCAGAGAGTTCCAAATGCCACACATTTATGCCTGCTCAAGTGTTCTCTAGAGACCTCAGAGGCAAACAACCCTTTCCACATTCCCATTCAGTTGAGCACAGACCTCCCATGGCCTCAGATTCCCCGCCTACCATATCACTCTTAGGGGAGAGTGGGGGATAGGGGAAGAAAAAAGAAAAAAAAGAGAGAAAAGCCAACAAAACTCACTCTGAAGAGTGGGCCATCCGAAACCCCCTCTTGTTCCTAGGCAACTAAAAAAAGATACCCTGACCCTAGGCTGGACCTTGCAGGCGTGCAGATTCAGAAAAAAGGGCAAATTCTTCCCTGTGTGTGTGTGCAGTAACCTGGACAAACAGAAACCCATTTGTGAGATGGAATTTCCATAGCAGGGAAGGGCTCTGATGGGAATGTGTGGCGCAGGAACATCTGTCCTGGTATTAAATGCATCGTTCCCATCTTTCTAACATTACACTACTCTGCATGGAGGAGTAGAGACTCCTTGCTCCCTTTCCAAATGTACAGCAGGATCAACTTAGAGTGCTGGTCTCAAAGCAGGGGGAGGTGATTTTGTCCCCTAGGGGATGTTTGGCATGTCTGGAGATATTTTTGGTTGTCACAACTGAAAGGGGTGTGTTACTGGCGTCTAGTGGGTAGAGGCCAGGGATGCTTTTAAGCAAACTATAACACTCAGGACAGCTCCCACGACAAAGAATTTTCCAGACCCAGTGTCAGTGGTGCTCTCGCGGCAGGATTGCGACCACCTGTGTATCACTGCACACACAACAATCTAACAACATGGTACAGTCCCTCACCAAGTTACTCCTGAGTATTTTGGCTAGGAAATATTGCTAAGACACTCACATCCAAGATCAAGACTGAGCCGGAGATTTCTTTTACTAGATACCTTGTCACCTATGGGCTACACATGACTTTATAAGCAACAGAAGCTGATACAGATGCCAGTGCCTACTAAGGAAAGGCAACGAAAAATCAGTCCAGCTCACCCAAAGCACCCACCCAATGACTGCCAGTCAAGTGATTCTCCAGAGGAATCAAATATGGTAACAACCTTTTCAAAACTCAGCTTCTTTATCATTCATAAGATCTAATTAAGCAACCTCGAAAACCTCCAAGTCTGCCATCCGACCTAAATTCTTAGAACGGATCCTAAGATTCTTCCCCCTGCAATGAGTTAAAAAAGAAAAAGCTACCACAGAAGTTTCAACCCTGAATCTTTTTTTTTTAAATATCTGGGAACAGTTAACTCAGCAAAGAAGTAAATGTTCCAAAACAAAGGCAGAAGAAAACAGAAGTTTTTGCCAACACACACCGACAGTGAACCTTTAACACACAGTAAAAAGCAACCAGCACAGAAAGAGTTGCCCGGGAGATAGCTTTTTAAAGAGGTAAAATCTTACTCTGTTTGTCAAGGACAGCAGAACCATTAAAAACTGGGAAGTAGACTCGCTAGTGACATTCGCTCAGGAAGGGTCAGAGGTGACCACAGGGAGGGCACCCTTTTCAGCCGGGTCCAGATCTGCCCCTCCTGCAGGGTCTCCGGTCCCAACAACTCCAAGGATGGCTGCAGTCTCCTCTCTCTGAAGAAATCAGAGCCGTTCTCCCACTGCTGAAAATATTTGAGATGTGCCAAGCAGATGGTCCCACGCTTATCAGCAGAAGCCGTGCTTCCAATGGCATCATTTGGTGACACACTCAAGTGAAAATCTTCACGGTGATCCAGAGCTGAGTTGAGCTGGTGATAACGCAAGGTGGCTGACCAGACCACCTTGAACTTCGAGGACCAGCTAGGGATAAAGAGAAAGATGACCCAGAGAAAGGCTATGGGAAGGGCAAAATCTCATGTGTTGATGGAAAGACAGAGCCAGCTCAGCTCTAACTAGTCGTGGGACCTCTGCCAAGCTCTTTAAGACTCAGTTTTCTTGCCTGTAAAATGGAGCTGATAATATTACCTCAAAAAGTTATAACAATTACACGAGATGTATATATAGACCTGCAGAATAAAAGACATGTGGCTAAATAATTAAGGACTTCTTCCCTTCCAATGCCCTTTGTGGCATGTAACTCATGCCCAATTTAGTGTACAAGGCCCATAGGATGTAATGGAAAGAGAGAGGAAGCTAAGGAACCAGCCTCCAGGGGTAGAGGCATCGGTTTGCATCATCGGTAATGCCCAGCTTGCTTCTCACCCGGGTTCAGGGACTCTTCTGGGAGCCGCTGCTTCTGTCAGATCCAGACTCTCACCAGTGCAGTCAGGATCACAGTATCAAATCACTCCACCCTTCCCCCATCCCCGTTCCCCATTTTTCAAAGGCGCCAGTTAAAGCTCTAAAGGCTGAGCAGGAGAATTCTAGATCATTTGGATTTCAGGTAGCCCAGTCCTGTGGTGAAGATGTACCCCACACTCATGGCAGTGTTCCCCTCGTTCACAGGAATTTCTTCATATTTACTGTGCCAAAGCAGTAAGAGACCCCCTGGGACCAATCAGATCAAAAACGGGCTGGAGGGCAATCTCAGACTCTGTGGGAAAGCAGACTTAGGAACTCATGGATGAAGCGTTCCCCGGACTGTTTTCACAAGCCAAAAGACCAAAGAGCCAGGACAGTGCCAGATGACGCTTGTGGAAAGCCCAGCCCGCGGCTCCATCCTCCCAGTGGAAAGAGGGCTGTCCCAGGGTAGGCAGGTGCCGAGGAATAAGTCACCGGACCAGGTGAACTCAACCGGGAAATCGGGACGATGTTTCATTACCTGGCTTTGACGTTCCTAGGGAGGAGAAGGTCCGCCTTGTGGAGAACTTTAGTTTCCCAGAGAAGAATCAGAGACTGGAAAGAAAACAGGCACCATCTAACATACACTGCAAGGCAGAGAAGAAGGAGCACTCAGTGGAAAATAATTGGCCTCACAGAAGCCAACACAGTTAGGGGAGAAATGATAGGCTGCCTGAAGTGTTTCCAAAGTCACAGTTAGGAAGGAAGACACCCCAATGGAAAAGAGGGGTCAAGAAGATGGGACAGGATAGAAGGATCCTCTCTGCTCCTGTGTTCCCCATTTGCTGCTTCTCCGATCAGGGGCCGTCCGGGTTTTATAGGCATTTCACCCTGCACCTACGGGTACTGTGACACCCCAGCAGTGACCAACTAGAGAGAAGACTCCAACATCATTATGTAAGTCAACAGAACAGAGGGCCTCACCGATTTGCTTTTTCCAGCTCCCAACAGAACTGAGAAGTCTGTCCATGCGGGCAGAGGACAAGTTGCCCAGTTTGGAAACTGACAACAGTTGCAGGTGAATGAAGAATAAGCCACCAGGAAGCTGGAGTGGCCAGATGATTTCTAGGTAGGGGGAGAGACTCTGGAGGGGTTGGCAGCCAGCCACCGGAGCTGGGAAGAGATGGCTCTTTCTTCCCCCAGATCGAGTGGGTGGTGGAGGCGCCGATTGTTTTGTGACTAATTGGCACCACTAACAAAGCAGGAACCATCACAGATGGAGCTGGAGTTTCATTTGCGGTAGATAATGATTTATACTTAGAGAAAATACAGCAACTCACTGTAAAAATAAAACTACTTGCATTGAAGCCACAAATAGGTTGACTATTTCCGTGCTTGATTTGTCTTTGTGAGTAATCATTCTCCTCTTGAGAGGTGGGCAGGGTTGGGCGGGGGTGAGGCATAGAAAGAACGGGTAACAGAGCAACTAACCCTGAGGAAAAGAAGAGTTTGAAGCCCCCCACTTCCAGTGTGGAAATTCTAACTTTCACCTCCGTGGGACAAGTCACATCTCCCAAAGTTCCCTGGAGAAACTACTCTCTTTCTCCAATCACACAATAGAGCATCATGGTGGAGGGGGGCCTGAGGAAGGACCTTATGGGTGCAGGCAATGAGGAAGCTTGGTTACCCAGAGGCCATACAATGGGCCCACAAGGGCAGAACCCACAAGGGGTAGATCCGTAAGTAGTAGATACGAGGGGGACCCCAAAAAACCTGGAATTGTCTTTTGGAGGGCAGGCTTCCCCTGCTAGGCAAGTGTTCTGTTAGGAACCCATCAGCATCGGTGTACCAGCTAGTGTTGTTGTGAGAGGCTGCGTTCAGCTTCAGTTTTTTGGAGATTCTTTCAATATATTTGCCCATTCCATGGTGGGTGATTTACGAGTTCACCTTCCCACACAGTGCTGAGTGTTCAGCAGTTTTTAACCCAAAACAGTATGACCCATGTGCCCTACCCTTCCTATTCACCTGATCTCATCTCAAATGACATTTTTTGTTTCCCTGCTTGGAAAAAGTCCTCAAAGGGAAATGTTTTGCTGATGTGGAAGAGATGAAACAAAAAACGGCAGAAACACTAAAAGGCATCAAAATTGGTGAGTTCAAAAACCATTATGAGCGGCAGAAAAAGCATCTCAATAGGTGTATTGTATCAAATGGGGAGTACTTTGAAGGTGACTGAAGTTTCAACATATAAGAATAAATACACAATTTTTTATAAATAAATTCCGTGGCCGGGTGCAGTGACTAAAGCCTGTGATCCCAGCACTTTGGGAGGCTGCGGCACGAGGATTTCCTGAGCTCAGAGGTTCGACACCAGTCTGGGCAACTTGGTGAGACTTCATCTCTACAATAAATCAAAAAAATTAGCCAGGTGTGGTGGCACATGCCTGTAGTTCTAGCTACTTGGAAGGCTGAGGTGGAAGGATCACCTGAGTCCAGCAGGTAGGGGCTGCGGTGGCCGTGAGCATGCCACTGCACTCGAGCCTGGGTGACAGAGTGAGACTCCAACTTAAAAGATAATGGCAATAATAACAATAATAAATTCCATATTGTTTTGGTCCCTCCCTGTAGAGCCCATAAGTAGTACATGCTAGAACCCACAGGTACACCTGTAAGTGATAGAATTCCTTTCTTCCATCAGGGCTTTACTAGAAAGTTCCAAACCCTCTCAATGTCTTGGGGGCTTCAGTCAGTGCTAAACCCAGGGAAGTCTAGTGAATTCAAATCTCATCCCAAAATGCATTCCTTATTTGGAAAGAACTCTGCTTACCCTAGATGCTGAACCTATATTATGGGGAGATAACCATTAAGTGCCTCACAGAAGCCCAGCACTGCCTCTGTGTTGGAAAGACAGGTGAGTTGGGAGAACATGGGCTGAACACTTGATCTGAGAGAACAGTCGAGTGCTCATTTTCACGGGAGATGGCCCTAGAGTTCGGAGTAGAAACAGAGAATCCATGGAATGGCGGGCAACTTATTTAGCACAGATTGTCTTGTTCACCATTTAGGAGCAGAACAGTTTCATATATGCTAGAAATCTGGACTTGCAAGCTTGCCCAGGGTGATGAGTGATTCTTTTTTCCGCCCGTTTGATTGACAGGGTTTTGGGAGCAGGACAGTCCTGCCCTCTGCCCTCTGGTATGGCAAAGGAGTCTTCAGATCCTGCTGGCTAGATAAAAGTCCAAGATAAAACCCTGAGAACAGAACTCTCCCAGATGGGTTTGCTCCTCCTCATCCTCAGGAAATCTCCAGGCTTCTGCTAGTCTATGCTGCCCCGGAATTGGTGGGGTCTGTCCCAAGTGACGATTTTTACTTTCAGTGCACATTTCTTGCACGTCAAATCTGAAAGAATGTTGGGCTCGGTGGCTCAGCCTGTAATCCCAGCACTTTGGGAGGCCGAGCCGAGTGGATTGCCTGAGCCCGCAGGTTCGAGACCAGCCTGGGTAACTTGGTGGGACCTCATCTCTACAATAAATAAATAAATAATTAGCTGGATGTGGTAGCGAGCACCTGTAGTTCCGGCTACTTTAAAGGCTGAGGCAGAAGATCGCCAGAGCCCAGCAGGTTAATGCTGGGGTGGCCGTGAGTGTGCCACTGCACTCCAGCATGGGCGACAGAGTGAGATTCCAACTCAAAAAAGGTGGGGGGAGCTTATTATTTGGTAAATATTCCCTTGTGTGATACTATCACTGCAAAGAAAGGCATTTTTATATGTAAGTAGAATCTCAATAAATTTAAAATATCACATAGGAGGCCAGGCTCGGTGGCTCAGCCTGTAATCCCGCGCTTTGGGAGGCCGAGGTGAGTGAATTCCCTGAGCCCGTGGGTTTGAGACCCGCCCAGGCAACTTGGCGAGACCTCATCTCTACAATAAATAAAAAATTAGCCGAGCGAGGTAGCGCGTGCCTGTAGTTCCAGCTACTTGGAAGGCTGAGGTGGAAGGATCGCCGGAGCCCAG